TAGGACATTAAGGATTAAGTGAGAACCCTGATGGCAAATTATTTACATGTAAGTTTCCATTTGGAACTTAACACTTCTCCCACATGTTTTCCTGAAGTCAAGTTGTGGCATGGTAAGAGATGATAAAGAACACCCAGTCATTATTTTGTGAAACTCTAACTGAAAATGTAAATTCTTTTTTTAATCCACCTTGTCTTTAGCTTTGCCATCCTGACTGCTAAAGGTACCTCTTCAGTTGCATTATGGGAAAGACACTCTTATTTCCAGTGTTTCTCTTAACTCAGGAGTGTAAAATTGGGTATTGGCAAAGTGTCAGTGAGAATTGACAAAATGCCAAAGGGATAGGGGAGGGGTACATCAGATGTGAATCCCATCCAGGGGAAGTACACTGTAACAGCACTACTGGTTGCTTCATGTTGATGGCAAGCTCTGTTCAGATGGGTAACAGGGCCCATCAGCTGATGTTACCCTTAACCTTTGAATTAATTTTTAATCATTTGACTTCAGTTGGAGATTTATGACGAACCAGTTGAGATATCTAAAGTCAAACCGGATGAGGAAGAAGTCTCAGCATTTGAGGAGAAAGTGTCAGTGGCTAGAAGATTTGTGTGGGGTTGGACTTCTACAGTGAAGGTTTGGGAATAACTTTTGCAACAAATCTTTAAGTGTAACAGTTCCTAGGTGGTTCTCACCACATTGAAGTTAACAAGCATTGTTATCAGCTGATGTGTGTAGTTTTCTCCTTTTATTGTAAGCATGACAGGTGAAAGAAATTTTCAAACTGGTACAGCAATCCTTTTACCTACATGCAGTATCAATAAGGAGATTCTTAGTTGATCCAATACCAAATTCTCCCAACTGACATCATGTTTTTCTCGTTGTCATGCATCCACCAATAACGTAGCTCCATTTTCTGCCTTTAAAAGCACACACAACCCACAATTCCTCTATTCGCTCCGACGAAGGGCTAACGCTCGAAACGTCAGCTTTTGTAATCATTACGGTGGCCAATTTACCATTTCAACTTTGTTGATATATCCAAATTATTTCGTTACTCCCACCGACGCAGCCCCAAACAGTTTCTTTCGAAACTATCAGCCTTTATTCATTTGAAGAAAAGATAGACAGATAGACAGATAGATAGATAGATAGATAGATAGATAGTCTGATNCTCTATTCGCTCCGACGAAGGGCTAACGCTCGAAACGTCAGCTTTTGTAATCATTACGGTGGCCAATTTACCATTTCAACTTTGTTGATATATCCAAATTATGACATCATAAGGATTGTGTGGCAGACAGTAAGGAGAATTTACAAATGAGATTTTAGACAGTAATAAGAGATACTATGAGCAGTAAATTTTACTGGTCACTGCCTGAAAAGGAAAACACTTTTTGGGTGAACTAGCAGCGATGTCCATCTCTAGAAAAGTTCCTTCATGTGTTAGACGCAAAATGAATTAAAATTTGCCTCAGTAGTTAAATTACTTATTGTACATTTCCCTTCCTATCTTTTTAATAATTTAATCATCATTGCAGATTTTTATTTTTCGAGAACTTATTATTACCAGCACTAGGGCTTTAGTTGTTTGTAATTGAACTTTAGAGCCAAAAGATCAGCCTTAAGCCTCTAAAGATGTACATGTTCATGTACTTCAATAACAGTATTAAAGTAGGAACTAAGGAAAATTCTTTTTATTTTCTACCTATGGTTGGCATTTTCATTTTTGTTTGTTTCTTTTGACAGGATGGTATAGATAAAACCAGAAGAACCTTTTCTTCAGTTGAGGAGAGATCTATAGGTACAAGTAGTTATAAATCATGGCTCTTCAATCAGACAACCACTTCAAAGATTTTTTTTTTGGTCTCAGTATCAAATGCCCCAGCAGTGTTCATCATGTACCATTTGACTTAAAAATGTTTCATTTTGATAGTTTCAGATTTTGTTTTTTTGACTTCTAAATGATCATTATGAGTTCCCTGTGAAAAAAAAATCCTGCAAAGAAAGAAAAAACAAAAAAAGAAAGTAATTCACCTGTACATTTATCTCTAAGACATTTTAATTGCATCTATAAAAATAGTACATGCCTTAGTACTCAATAATTATTTTTTTTTTTTTATTTTTTTTTTTTAACAGAATTTGTTCAGCTCTTGCACACTGACAGACAGTTTCAAATGAAAGTTGGAGGCATAACAGCGGCTGTGTTTGGTGGTGCACTGCTTGCAGGAAGAGGCCGTAAGCACATAGAATTCTCTTTGTGGAACTTATCCTTTAAATTTTTTTATTCGATGTTATTGATTACCTTGTGTCACTGTATTTGTTGCAGGTCGGCCAATTAGAAGACTTTTCTTCTCATCGGTTTTGGGAACAACTGCAGCAGCTATTTGTTATCCAAACGAGGCAGTTCTTATTTCACAAAAAAATTACCACAGACTAAAGACCTTCATTAAAGAGCAGTGGGAAAAGCACAATGAAAGGCAAGCTGAAAGAGCTGCTAAGGGGGAACTTAAAACTTCTGTTGATGAAACAAAAACTTTGGAAGGTCAGAAAACCTCCACAGCAGAAGAAGTAAAAGCAGAGACTGCTTCAGCGGATGTAGTCAAAGAGGAAGTTGCTTCGAGCCAGAACAAAGTCAAGAAGCAAGAAACACAAGAGACAACTACAGAACCAGTGGTTGTGTCAACGGAAAACACATCCCAGGGATCATTTTGGAGTAAGATCCCATTTGTTGATAAGTTTATGGCACCAAGACCAAGTGAGGCTCATGAAGTGAAGCGGGTTGAAGTGGTAGAATCTTCAGATAAGACTGGAAGTAGCAAAGATCAAGTGATAGTTCAAGAGGAGACATCAAGCGATGTTCCTAAGGCAGAAGGAGACACAGGGCAATCAAACCCTGAAGACAAAGACATGTACTCTACCCGCTCGTAAACAGTGTGACTTCTCATTAGCCTCTAACTAGTGACATTATTAAATATTTTTGAAGGCAAATTTAAAGAAGTAAAGCACCATGTTCAATCAAATTGAATAATTAGGCATATTCTCTACACTGATCTTGACAGTTTTTATAAGGTGCTGACATGCAGAATTTGTTTTATTAACCCTTGACATCTTAATATCAGTATGAATATTCTCCATGCTGTTCTCTACACATTTCCTAAGGTGCTGACAAGGAGAATCTGCTTAACAATCAAGAGCTTGTGCAGTTGTTGATCATTTCCTTTATTCTCATGACCTTAATGATTGAGTCGGGTGATTTTGTAAGGAGAAATTAGATGTTAGTCTCTGTATGGGGTTAAAGGGTGAACAATCAAGAGCTTCCTTACTTTGTGATCATTTCCTTTTTTTTTTATTTTTCCTGTGACCTTAAGCTGTGATTTAGGGGCGACATTTTAACGAAAAATTAGATGCTAGTCACTCTTAGGGATCAAAAGGTCAACAATTATTTGATTTCGAATTCGGGATATCAGAAAACTTAGCATGGTGCTTAATGAAAGCTTAAAAGTTTACAGAACATTCCTTTCAATCAGATCTGCTTGAATTCTGTAGTACACCAGTCCTGTAAAATAGTCCTACCATTCTCCTAAGCGCAGTTGGCAGAACTAAAGAGCAGATTTTCTGCATGCTTTATTTATTCTCCTTAGTTACATTTTGCTTCAATAGGAAAAGAGACTACTTGCGGTCTAATTTCCACCTTGACTTAGTTTGATGTACCTTTGTTCTCTTGACCCTTTTTTCACTTTTTAGATATAACCTGTCAACACTCTTCCACTTGCCAGACCTCTTTGTCCTATCAATAAACAGTGGGAAATGAGACATGGAAGTAAAAAAGCTTTTTAATAAG